CTGCAGCGATCTCTGTGTGTGTGGAGGCCTGGTCCCGGTCCCACGGCGGCTCCCGCCAAAGAGGCCTCCTTCGGGTCAGGAGTCTTGCGGGGGGCTGGCCCGGTTTGCTGGAAGTAGACCTCCGAGATGTGCTGTGGCTCCTCAGGCGCCAGCTGCGGCCATGCCGGATCTGCTGGACTTCTCTCCCCTCGGCGAGGTTTGGCGATAGTTGACGGGGATGCTGCAGACGGTTTTGAACTCCAGCTGTGGCTTCCCTTGAGGCGGCTCCTTCTGGTGCAGACCTCCTGGCTGCAGGCTCGCCGTGAGTGCAGAGACGGCTTTGTAATGTGTACAAGGGCAGCGGGAGCCGCTGCTGCAACCATGAAGCATCTTCGATTGGATTGTCCTCTGGAGAAGAGTTCTATCTGCTCTCATGACTTTGCCGCTTCAGCTGGTCACTGTAGCCGTTTGCAGCAAAGCTCTAGGCCTCTAGGCTTTGCTACGGCGCAGGTGATCCCACTCCTGGCCTGCCAAGACTGGATTTCTCAGGTGGGCACGCATGCGTCTCCATGAGAGCAGCGAAAACAACGCGAAATGCAATCCTTTGCAGATGATCCTGACAGGTGCGAGGCCCGTGGAGGCACAGAGGCAAAGCTGCAAGAAGCTCTACAATGTAATGACCGTGACAACACTGTAAAGAACAAGAACTCCAATAGTTGGGAAAGTGGTGTTTGCCGCTGCGCGCTGTGCCCTGCTTGTCTTACGCCCCAAAAGCCCCCGTCGGAGGCCGCCATTGCTGAGTGGTGGCTATGGCAACGTCCCAGTGCAGGCTCAGCTTAAGGGCTTCATGGTTCCGATTTCACAGTCCGCTGAAAGCCCGACCCAAACACTACAGACACTGAAGGCAAACCCCAGCAGTCTCAATCCTGCAAAAGCCCAAAGTAGCACTCGAGTCCCTCAAAACGTGACTCTAAACGCCCTAACCCACAGCCTTATCCACAAGCCCGACACCCGAAAACCCCGAAGTCCCACTAACAGCAATCTCCAAAGCTCTCAGCACTTCTTGAATCCAAAGAGCCGCAAACCTTAAGAGCTCCAAAATCCTGAAAACCTCCAGTTAAGACTGTTTCACCAAAAACAACCAGCCCCAAATCTTAATGAAAACATACGCAACAGGTAACCTTCAACACTTGGAGCTACGAGCATCATGACAAATAGCTTATGACAAGGTGCTTGCGTTGTTTTTGTATCATTGCTACCGTTGCAGCAGTCAAAACCTCCGATGTTTATGAGGCACCTGCCACAAAGCCGCAGGCGGGCCTAATGGGACTGAAACCGCAGGGTGAGACGTAGGCTTCGGCCTTGTTGATGTTCAGGTCCAAGCAATCCTTTTTTCCGACGGGTGACGAGCTTGCGAGATATTCGTCTGAACACTTTCTGAAAGGCAGCTTTTGCTCGAGGTTGCTTTGGGTTGCTTCTTCTGGCTTTAGGCTTGAGCATTTAGCCTGCCCGCTTCGCGGTTTTGCAGTTATCAGCCTTTGGCTAGTAGGATGGTTTTGATGGAAGTACGTGTCCACATGTGCGGACACGGTCTTTTGAATGTATCGATGCATCTTTGGCTACTTTCTGTTGGGCTTTTGTGTTGAGTGCAGGCTGAGGCGAAGGCATGTTAGTATGATCTACAGTTGTAAACTTACCGACTTTGGCGTTCGGTGCATAGCAAGCTTGGCGACAGGAAAGTTTCGACTTTGTCTCGGACCTGTTCCTGCAGGCACTTCGCATACACTCCACATGGCAGTGTCGGAACGGCTCGTCAGCAAGCATGTGCAGGAGTTTGCATGCTCGTTTGCTTTTACAGACCTGGTCGTTTGGATTCGCAGAATCCGTGCGTACAGACTGCTAACAGTCCTCCTGCGCCACAGAGGAGCGTCAGCAACACACGTGGCAGAGTTTCTTCGAGATTTGCTGTTGCGCTTCTGAGCTGGAGGTATCGGATGCGCAGCCGCCTGTGCAGCAGACGGATCGCTGAGCCCCCGTGGATGCGTGCAGTCAAATGCTAGGAGTGTGGGCAGGTTTTGCGTGTGCAGATGTCGTGGCTTTCGGCAAAAGCAGCGGTAAACAGAATTCAAAGGAGATGTGGGATTCCGAATCGGTGGATTGGGTGTGTGCACAGCGACTCACGCCTACCTGAGAACTGCGCGCGAGTGGAAGGCTTTTTTGGCTGATTGTGTGCTCTTTTGCCTGGGTGTCGAAGACCCCACGACATCAACAAACATGAGATAGATGTGCAGTCTTAGGCTGCACCCATTGGTGACATCCTCACGTTTGCGGTGGCATCTTGAGCCAGCGAGTCTTCGACAAATCTGCAAGTGCCAACGCCAACTTCGGAGCATCTGTGCATCCCCAGTGACTCAGTGCACATGGTTTCTGGACAGTTAGGGGGCTTGTCAATTCCGCCTTCGACTTGTTGATGTACCATCCCACCCCAGTTCTCCTAGAAAAGCGAGCTCCTGAACTCTACTTCCACCGCACTTCTGTCTGTGTTGTGATTCCCCCCCGTCCGTCCCTCCGTGTCCGCGCCAGCCCTGCGCCTTCTACTGCTTTTCCCTGTGTGGCTGCCGCATGGATCGCGAGCCTTGGCCTCAGAGTACGAGAACGAGAGGAGAGCGATGCCTGCAACCACGAAGCGATGGATTTCGAGTCAGTTAGGGTCGGAAGCATCGTCTAGTGCTGAGTTGCGCCTACTGCCACCTCTTCCACCAGTCCCGTTTGAAGCAGCGCCGGGAGGACGGCTGCAGATTCAAATGCAGCTTGTCGTGTTTGTTGGCATTGTTGAGTATTCCGGGTTGTTTATTGATGCGTGACGATCTTGCGCATCTCCCAAGAGAGCTAGCTGCCGTCAGAGTGAGACATGCATGCAATGAGGCCCAAGTGACGTGCGTTTATTCAGTTTACTCTTTGGTCGGGGCCGTAGCAGACCTTCGACCCTTCCCACAGAGGCCATGTGGTCTATGTGCTTAGATGGTGTGAGGTTCACTTGTTTGCATTGCTCAGGGTTTGCATGCATAGGCGTATATGTGCATACTTACACAGGTGACGGTCATTGATGATGACCGTGAGAATCACAGCAGTACTGCTTTCTGTTATCTCCACAGATACGATGTTAGGTGCTACTACAAGACGTTGCTGTCTTCGTGCGAACTAGCTGTTTCATTGCCTGCAATGGCCCTCCCATCCGAACAGAGACAGGGCGAGGACCTCAGTGGCCAGTGAAGTTTTAGGCAGCATGTTCTTGTTGTCCTTCTGCTCTTGTCGATGGCGATTAGGTCATGAGTCATATCATCACATACGGTACCTCTGCCGTCATACACATCGTCAGGATCACCATCATCACCATCATCACCATCATCACCATCATCACCATCATCACCATCATCACCATCATCACCGTCATCACCGTCATCACCGTCATCACCATCATCATCATCATCACCATCACCATCCAATCATCATCGTCATCATCATCATCACCACCAGCATCACCACCAGCATCAGAATTAGCATCAACATCAGCATGACCGTCACCATCGCCAGCATCGCCACCGGCACCACCGGCACCACCAGCACCACCAGCACCACCAGAACCACCAGCACCACCAGCACCACAAGCACCAGCACCACCAGCACCACCAGCACCACCAGCACCACCAGCACCACCAGCACCACCAGCACCGCCAGCACCGCCATCACCGCCAGCACCGCCAGCACCGCCAGCACCGCCAGCACCGCCAGCACAGCCAGCACCACCATCACCACCATCGCCACCATCGCCACCATCGCCACCGTCACCATCATTATCACCGTCACCATCACTGCTAGCATCCCATCCCACATCATAGCAGAGTTTGATTTCAATCACTCGTGTCTGGTTTGAAGCGAGTGAGGCTATCCGTCACCGGTCGCCACTGCCCCGGACATCAGCAAAGAGGGCAGGTCAAGAGCAAAGCAGCAGGTCTTATCGCAACGAGCAGGCCATCGGATTTCAAGTCTTGGGGCTGGCGTGGCGGATGACTGGATCGATTTGCCCACTTGCGCATCTGCACAAGTGCACTTGTGAGTAGAGTCGAGGCACGGCGTGCAGATGGTGCCGGCATCCCAACTGCTGTGTGCTGTGAACATGTCTCGAGTCTGCTGCAGCCCCTTCAATATCTGCATAGCAGCAACTGTCCGCAGGAGCCATGTGATGCCGATCTGCACTCGTGCCGTCTTGAGTTGTTGTGTCAGCTGAGGATGTGAGCAGCTCTCCTGCACAGCGACAGACTTTTGCGGTGCGAGCCCAAGTTGTCAACCTCGATACTGCCCTTGCATAATTGGAGAGGCACCTGCACTGCACCGTCTGGGCCTTCGCTGGTCAACCCGCAGACACAGCCGCCCGAGATCAGGGTCTACTATGTAGCCGCCCAGGTGTCACCACGACCCGCTTCAGGATCCAGCTCGGGGAGGACTTTCTGTGGCTTAGGAAGCTCTGCTACGGTGCAAGCTGAACCATCCGAGCTCCGAATGCCTTCGCTGGTGCAAGGAAGGCTGGGTCGTCCAGCGCCCCCTCGGCTTCTCGGTTGATGGTGAGCCCCGTGCAATGCAGACCCTGAGCAAGCCGGGAAGGGTTGAAGTTTGAAGCTGGAGCAAGTTGCCAGATGGCCAGACACGAAGTTAGGCTCCTGACCTGAGGTTGTTCCAAGATAGCACTGTCAGGCCGTATCGTCAAAAGACGGTTGAATGCGCCTGACCGAGCATTCCGAGGCAAGATCCTCCACACCAATCGTGGCCGAAGACGACTCGGAAACAAGGCACGGATGGAATTTTGCTTGCCGGCAAGCACCGGTAAGTAGAGACAGAATGCCGGCTGGAATTTGCTGAGTCTGAGCGCTTCACTGCCTGTTTCTACCTTCCCTCCAAGCGTGAGGCAGTCGACGGCAGCTTCCACCAATGAGGCAACAGAAGTCGCAGCCTCAGGGTCCCAGATGGTCCCAGGGTCCCAGGGCTCCTATGCTCGGGGTTTGACATTGGAGGCCTGGGCGGAGCCGCGCGGGGCCGCCGCAGCACCGCCACCACCGGGCGGTGCGGCTCCCACCCGGCAATGGCAGGAGGCGACTTTGGGGTTGGAGACACCTTCCTCCACAGTTCGGATTGGAAGGGCCTGTGCTGTGAGGGTACTTGCCTCTCCGTTGCAAGGCGATGGACAGCCTGCAGCGCGAGTATGCAGAGGTGGGCTTGAACCAGCCCTACCAGCCTGTTCATTCAAAGCTGCACCTCCAAATCGTCGAAGCAGGCGCTGAAGAGCATTGACTTTCGGGTGAACCAGCGGATGACGTCCTTGCGATCGCAGTTGGAGTGTGCTGCCCCCAGCGAGTTTCTCGTCGATCCGATGCTCGGAGTGCCAATGCCAATGTCCTGGTATTCTTCCGAGGTTCCAAGCAGCATGAGCTGCCTCCAAGCTATCCCCCTTCTGATGTGCAGCCCTGAAGATCGTGCAAGATGCAACCTTTTTACCCATGCACCTGTTACAACGACGTCAAAAGGCAGCTCAAATTTCCTGCAGAGGTGTCTAGAGGCGAGACGGATGCGGAGATGGTCGAGACGGCATCTTGGCCGACATCTGCAGCACTCGCGAGAAAGTCCTCAGCCTTGCTGGTGCTACGGAGGATCCCGAGCTCATCAGCCCCTGAGCTTGAGCTTGAGCGTCGTAGAGCCCACTTTCACGGCCCGCTTTTGGTCGGCGAGGCCTTCGGCGGCCGAGTTTCACTTAAATTCATGGAGCATCGGGCTTCAACTGGGGCTGTAGCAACTTGTCATTGACTCCCATGCAGAGAGGCTGTGCCCCGAAGGGGTACGGAGCCAGATGCTCGCGATTGTTCTGTCGTGCTTTCCAACAGGGAAGGCAGATCTCGACATGTAGTTCGGTCTGATGTGTCGTGTACCTTCTCGCGAGCCGTTGCACAGGGGACAGGGCTTGGTCCCTGTTGGCTCTGGATTGATCCACCGTTGCGCTCGCGGTTGTCAGGGACAAGCTTCCCAGTTGAAAGCTTGCAGTGCTTTCACCTCTGCCTGGATATGCTTAGTCTGCTTAGTCATTAGTCACTCGAGGCCCGGATGCCAACGGCCCAAGCTTCATAGATCCCATTTCACGCGCGCGATACCGTTCCCTTGCAACAGCGGATTGCGCGATGCCATGCTGCAGGATTGGAAGCGCGCACAGCGCCAGAGGCGCAGCAGGCAAATGCCCAAGACGTCCGTCGCCCAGCGAGTGGGAGAATCTCGATACGGAAACCTTCTGCAGCCTGCCCTGAACTGCGTGTGAGCTGTTTTGCAGCAGTGCTTTAAACAAAACAAGTTTGCCCAAATGCTGGCAGGAGCGAACCTGCAGCGCTGTCGGCCGCTGCCGTACAGCGGCCAGGACCTGCAAAGTGCAATTAGCATTGCGTCCGATGTCCTTTGTACAATGCTGACAGCACGAGCCTCGCTGTTGTCCGCGCCGCGTGAATTCTCTAGTGGTTGGTCGTCGTCGTCGTCGTCAGAGCGGCTGTTGTTGCAGCTGTGGCGTTTGCGGCAGTTCGATTGTTTTGGTTGTTTTCTGCTACTCCTATCCTTCTGTCAGCACTGTTGCCGACGCTGATGCTGCTCCGCTTGCTGGTACGGCTGATGCTGCAAGTGTTGTTGCTGCTAAAGATACCGCCGTCGCAGGAGTGGTACATCGAGACGTGGACGGATCACTTCCAAATGGCTTCGGTGAGGCCGTGTCAGTGAGAGCAACGCCGATTCGAGAAGTGGCAACAGCAGGTTGTTCTGTTCTTGTGGCCCTGCAGACCGCCAGGCACAACCGAGTTTCAATGCGATGGCGCCGTCCCGATCTTAAGAATAAAGAAAGCTAGACATGCACCACCCGTCAGCTTGGAGGGTGCCATGTGCAGGTAACTGCAGAAGCTAATGGGAGAGCAGTGCGTGCCTTTTTGTGCTCGGCCTTGAACTGGATGCGCTCAGGCCGCCACATCCACCACAAGGTTTGTCCCCTCGAACCCTCACCAGAGCTGCTAAGTCTTGGGAAGACTTGGAGTGCCGTGCATGACTGGCTTAGCTGTTGTCACAGACATCGCTCGGGCTCTCAAGTATTTTCTAACCTTGAGACATTTCATGGTCAACAAGGCTAGAGATCACAGCACTAGCCGCATTAACGATGTCTTATATGGTTGCCATTGTCATGAGTCATCGGGATACTCCTAATGGTTCTAATGATAAGGTGAAAATAAACAAAGATATAGTCAGAACATAAGAGCCGTAGATAAGAGGAAGAGTGACCACACCACCACCACCACCACCACCACCCCCGCCACCACCACCACCACCACCACCACCACCACCACCACCACCACCACCACCACCACCACCACCACCACCACCACCACCACCACCACCACCACCACCACCACAGCCACCACCACCACCACCACCACCGCTGCAGCCACCGCCGCCACCATCAATGCCCCTTGTGTGGATCCTGGTGCCGCTGCTACTGCTGCTACTGCTACTGCTCCTGTTCCTGAATCAGCAGCTGCTGTTGAGTTCGTAAGTTTGCATGATGGTTTGAGGCTCATCTGAGTGGACAAGATGCCTTTTGTCGATCGAGAGGGACCGCCATCTACCGCAGACTGTGGTTGCTGAGACCTATCCGTTCTTCGCGCTGTTGACTGTGGTCATTTCGCTATTCTTCGTTGCATGATCACATTGATGATGTTCATTGTGATGGTGAGGTTGACGGCGCTGAACTCCCCCCGAGCCCAAACCTGTCTTAAAACAGCTCTCACGAGCGTCGTGTTACCGTGTTGCTTCCTCCGGCATTCGGCAATCGGCCGGCTGCTCGCCAAAGGCCGGGGTGTCTGGTTTTCTATGTAGATGATGGTTCCAGGTCCTTGCAGCGTGTGGGTCTTGCGGGTTTCTTCTGTGTAGTGAGGCTGTCCTCAGCACAGCTGTTGTGACTGGAAGTGTAGGTCTGAGAGTGTGGACTCGTCTCCTAAGTCCAACTGCGATGGCATGCCGTTAGTGAGGTGAGGTCTGGGATGCTATGGGCTGTGGTCCACAGTGATCCAGTGATTCGCATGCCGGTGCCCGTGGGGTCCTCTCAGGCTCCAGCGTTTGAGCTGGCTTAAATATTTGTCAGAACAAGCATAGTGTTCTAAGATGTTCTATGTATGATTTTCAGAATTGCAAGACATAGACCGACAGAGCAGCAGACCAGTCCTCAGTTTTTCCTTTCCGAGTCTCGTTCCCCCGACCCCCCAGCAAGGCGGGAAGCTTACACAAACCATCTTAGACCAAGCCTCCAGCACGAGTCCATCCTCTACCCCTCGAGCCAGTCGCATTCCGCACAACTTCCTGGTAGCTGCCTGCCAACGTCATGCTTCTAATGTAGCTGGCCCGGCGGGGGCGATTGACGAGTGACTGTGCTGCAACAATATGCGGTATGGGGTGCAGGGTCGGCAGCGGCCTTGTCTGCGTGTTCCCTTGACAGCTTCGAAAGCTCACACGTCGGCCATGTTCTCTTTCCGCTTCTGTGGGCGGAAAGCCTGGCGATGCCTTTATAACTAAGGTTCAAAGTTCAGGTTCGCTACAGGGTTGGATTCAGGCTTCTCCAATGGAGGCCGCGAGCAGCTCGCCTGACGAACCTCAACAGGCATCGGTTGGTGGGGATCTGATGAAAGCAAAAGCCTGCCGGCCTGCGGCATGCCAGTAAACACTTGCTCGACTTTGCAGGAGGAAAGGCCTCCAAAGCCAAATCTCTGCAGGCGAGAGCCTAAGTTAGATGCGCTGCGTCTGGACCGTAGCTCAGGCTCTTTTCGGGAAAGGTCTTAGCAGACTGCGCTGACACAGGCTGCTCCTGAAGCAGCTGGAGGACAAGTTTCTGGCCATTGGCCGTCGTCCAGACAAATCGAGGCCCGTGTTGCAGGTAAAAGGCGTGGATGGACTGCTAGAATCTAGTTGTAATACGAGTACAAGTATCAATATCAAAGTTCATATTCATACACTATTGATATTAGTCTCAGTGTCAATAAGAGTAATGATATGCTTTGAATGCATTTATCTATATATGTTAGACACATGCGTATACACACAAATGAATGTGTATATATACACACACATGACTGTACATATATACACTTGTGTGTACCCACATATGTTTATGCACATTAGTATAGTATATACATAAGTTGGTTACGTACTATTTCCGTTTTATAAAGGTGTTTTCGCGTACATATCACACATTTTGTATACATACATACATATATATATATATATATTTGTGTATATCTGTATATATATATATATGTATGTATGTATATATATATATATATGTATACATACGTACATACACACATATACATACACACATATACATTCATACATATACATACATGCATGCATACATACATACATACATACATACATACGTATATACATACGTATATACATAAACATAAATACAATGTGAGTTCTACATCATATGTTACATGTTGGGAGTTCAGTTGCCAGAACGAGGCCGTAGTCGCTGTAACTTGCACGTGCTGGGCAGCAGATTGTTAACTTCTCGCTTTTCGCGAGGACCGATAGGTCTGAGCATCAGGAAGATGTCATAGCCTCAGTTCCGGCTGTGCCTGTAGGGATCGAATAGAGCTGCTAGGAGCAGGAATTGGGAGCTGCTTTTGTCTCGAGACTGCTACTGCAAGCACCCGCGGTTGTAAAAGCCCCTGTCAGAGGCCAATCAGCTCGTGGAGGCCGAGTACAGGCCATGGCAGCTACAGTAGTCGCAAGTTCTCTCCGAGATTCGCTCGGAACATCACTTCTTTCGCATCTCCGACGTATGATATCTGAACCCATTCCCATCTTTTGCATCTGCCCGCTTCTCTGTTGAGCTAAAAGTCTGTCTTCCCGCCGGTGGCTGTATTCCTACCTTTGTCGATCTCTAGCTCAGTCCGGGCAGAATCATATCTCAACATATCTACACATCTATCTGTCTTTGTCCGCCTGTCTGCCCTGCCGCCTGTCATGTGTCTGTTTACCCGAACTTGCGGATGTGTCTGTCGGTTTTCATGTCTTCATGCCTGCAAGCACGTCCACTTGCTGTCTCGCACAACAGAAGATGTGGGTGGATGTAAATGTGCACGCACGCACGCCCACGCTAGCATGCATACATTGACATAGCGGGACGAAAAGGGGCGCGAAAAGGGGCGAGGGAAAAGCATATACATTGGCGCACGCATATGCAGATACACAGACTGCCAGACAGCCAGACAGACAGACTGAGATGGACAAGCAGACAGACAGACGGACAGAGCCGATGTGCACACGAGCATAGCCAGACAAACTAGCAACTGTAAATAATTCTTTCTATGTGTACACACATTTTTACATATATATATATATATAGATATATGTATATATATATATATATACATACTTACAGATGCATGCAGATATGCATTCAATCAGGTTGCGGCCTCTGCTCTGACATTTTGCAGAAAGCCTCTTTCAGGCCGCGGTCCTTCCTGCGGCGGCGAGCGCCCGATGAGATCGAGGCTCACTTCGTCAGCGAGCTCTCGAAGAGGAGTCTTCAATCCGGGTTTGGGATTCAGGGTTCAGGCGAGAGGGAGAGAGAGAGACATTGAATCGATCGGGACCGTTAAGATCGACTTAGGCAGCCTTCTTATCGGTCCCTGCTGCTCCGAGCATGTAGAAACCTTGCAACCCTTGACGTGACGGCTTTTAGGTTACACCTGTCCTTGAAAGGCCCCGAAGTGCTCCCAAAATCCCGGTCAGACCGCGGTGACGCAGCTGGACCAGGGAGCCCTGACCATGGCGAAGAAGAGCTGGGCCCTCTCAGCTCACGAGAGCAGCACTTTGCAAGTCCGGTGGTTCTGTGCTCCAAGAGGTTTCACCAGCAACCTCGACTTGACGGAGTTCGCAGAGGCTCTCCGATCCCTTCTATTGATTTGTGTTGCAATCCAGACTACGCTTAGTCCACCTAGCTCGCCCATCACAGGCCATTGTCAGCACCGGCACTTACGATGCGGACCGGGTCTTTGTCCCAGAGTTGCCGACCTAAGATGGTCCGCCATTGCAGGGTCCGTCCTATGCTAGGCATGCATCAGAAGGTTCCAGCCGCGAAGGAGAATTGCAACATCCCCAAATCGCAAGCCCTGGACAGTGCGGGTATTGTTTAGAAATTTGGTGTTCTTTACGGCCTTTAGTTCAAAAAGGAAATCACAAAACGAGGAACGTGTTGTGAAAAAGGAACTTTGCTGCAACGTACGGGTTGTCTTAATACAAGTTGTTGTGGGGTACTCGTGGGTCCTTTCGGGTGCTAGCGCCACCGCCGAGGTCCTCGCTTTCGTCAGTGGCGTTGTCGACCTCTATCTGGAGGCGTTCACATCACGTCTTGCTCTAGGCTGTAGTAGGGCCGAAAGGGCTTCAGATCCTCAGTCGTAGTGCCAAGCGGACTGATGACATCCAGAAAAGTGGGCACCATGTCGCCGTTCGGGCTGCCGGTCCCAAGGCATCAACAAACGAGGGAGCATGCAGTAAGTAGTAGGCATCCCTTCTTAGATGCTCTTTTGAGTTCCTTTTGCGAGCCGGCTTCGGCCAGGTCTTCCGATCCCAAGGCGAGCGCGCATCCGAACGTGCCGTGAACTGGGCGCAGGCCAGGTGCCGTGCTCAAGCCGTGGTCGGGGAGCTGCTGTTCTTGCTCTTTGCTACTTGCGCTGCTAGCGCTGCTAGTTGCTGCTGTGCTGCTCATGTATCATCCTCATTGAACTGAGTGCTTTTGCTGTCATGGCTAGTTGCTCATTGTTACAACACAATTTTCGTACTGTTCACGAGTGTGAAGTTGTAGTGTTATTGGCAGTCGGTGCGCCTCTTTTGTCTCTCGTTTTGCATTTGGCCAGTCCAATCTTGCCAAGGTTGTCACATTCATGACCGTCCCGTCGCTGCTGCCAGATATAGACCGACAGTCTTTGTTCTTGCCGAGATGGTATGTTGTTGTCGATAACTTTGATGATGCTGGCGATGATGGCTAGCTCGTCTTGTCCTTATGGTTCACAACCTCCTGCTACTAGAGTGGCGCTGGTGCTGTCGCTGTTGTTGCTGCTGTATGTTTCGTGGCGTCTGTACGATTGGTTTGTTTTGCCACTAACGAAAGGAGCGGCTATATGCGGTGTCACAATGATGACTGGGAGCGTGGTCAAGCATGCTCATGGTGCGCCTTGACAATGTCCTGAGTGCAGTTGATGAACCACTTCATCGAGTCCCCAGAGATCGTCATGTTCGAGGGCAACGAGGCAGCCGGCATCTTCCTGCCAGCCAATCACAGTTGGAAAGAGCCCTTCGCGCTTGGTTGTGTCAGAACTTGTCGGCACAAAGCAACCGCTCAGCATTTTCAGAACGTGCCACATCACGAGCCGTGCCTTGCAGGTTTCGTCCGCGGGCCCGAAAAGCGTGTCCGGTGCAGAGAACTTGGCGCAGGCCAAGACTGCAAAAGGATGAGAGACTGGCCGGACAGCCTGACTCAGACTGCCGCGTGGAGGTCCGACGAAGCAATGTTGTGGACTGTGCCAAGCACATGGCAGGGGCCACAGATCTACTCTGCTCATTTTCGTCGTGGGTTTCGATGTAGTATCGCCGATTATGCAGTTTGTTCGCTGTGCCCCCTGTGTGGAGTTGAAATCCACTAGCCTTGAGACCCCGAGTGTCATCACTTTGATCACCCCCTTGCCCCTTTCCCACAAAGACAAAGTCTACAGGACAAATATACCTGAAAGCCTGAAAGATGAAACTCGATCAGTCGAGGGCTCCGTTATCCACAAGATCAACTGGATGGCCTCCCTGGAAATGCTCACCTCGGTGCCTGCAGGGTGCATTGTGTGTTTCGGTAGTCTGCCCATGCATGCATGTCTGTATATGTATATATACATATGTACATATATATATATACACATACAGACATACATATAGACATACATGTACATATTCAGACATATACATATACATATACATATGCATATACATATACACATGCATATGCATATTCATATTCATATTCATATACATATACACATACATATACATATACATATACATATGCATTTGCATATACATATACATATACATACATTTACATTTATATGCATGTATATGTATAAATACACACACACACACACATATATATATATGGTAACCCCCATATATATATATATATATATATATATATATATGTATTATATATGTAATATATACACATAGATGTATATGTACATATATGTATATATGCATATATATATATATATACATATGTACATACACATATGATGTATGTACATGTATGTACATATACAGATGTATGCACCCGTGTTAGCAGATAAACTTTGGGTGTGTATGTATGCATGCGGGCAGACACATATGCATGACAATACGCAGCAATAGTATGATGGTGCTACTCATCCTGTTGCTGCTGCTGGTGGAGGTGGCGCTGCCTGCTGCTGCTGCTGCTGCTGCTGCTGGTAATACAACAGCACCTGCTACTACAGCCATCAAGATGACGGTTATAAGAACAAGAACAACGCCAGCAGATGCTGCTGCTGCTGCTGCTGCTGCTTCTACTAGCACTACTGCCTCTACGGCTGCTACGGCTACTATTGCTACTACTGCTACTGCTACTGCTACTGCTACTGCTACTGCTACTGCTATTGCTACTGCTACTGCTACTGCTACTGCTACTGCTACTGCTACTGCTACTGCTACTGCTACTACTGCTGCTGCTGCTGCTGCTAGTGCTACTGCTTGTGCTAGTGCTACTACCACCACCACCACCACCACCACCACCACCACCACCACCACCACCACTACTACTACTACTACTACTACTACTACTACTACTACTACTACTGCAGATACTCCGTCTGCGGCTGCTGCGGCTGCCGCGGCTGCTGCGGCTGCTGCTACTGCTGCTGCTGCTGCTTTTGCTGCGACTGCTGCTACTGCTGCTGCTGCTGCTGCAACTATTGCGACTCCTAAAATCATAATGAACATAAAAACAGTACCAATTTTTTGAACGAGATAAGACGAGATGGGACACGTCAAACCAATACAAGAGAACATAAAATACTATCATTTCGAAAAAGACTAGCAAGCCGCAAACGTGAATACTTACGCACGAACATTGGGTAAAGGTCTAAATACATAAAACACAGCAGAAATAGACATAGAGCATCAATACTCGAATATGTATGTGCATGTATACATATCTGCATATATATATGAATATGTATATATATATATATATAGATTCATACACTCATCCATTCCTTCCGCCATCCATCCATATATCCGGGCAGGCAAGCAGGCATGCACGCACGCATGCATGCACATATGCCGGCACAGGTTGAGGGCACGGAGTCCGTGTACTTCTGGTCGCCGTTCATGGCTTGGGAGCCTCGGCTAGTTCTCGATCAGGGCTATATGGGAGTTTCCGAAAATGGGGGGCTCTTATACAGTACCCTAAACATTGGATACTGCCCCCACTCAGTAACAGTTGGATAATATTCTTTATATAGATATATTAGGACCTCAATAGTAGCCCGATTATAGACTGTTACTGTATGGGGGCAGTATCCAACCTAAATAGTAGTATCCTTATCATAAGGACCCGAAAAGAAGGTACCCCTAATTTTGGGAAACTCTCATATGTGTAACGGCAGTGCCAGCTAGAGCCCTTGGGGTATGTGTGCTGCTTCCTCCTGTCCTAGGAAACAGCACGTGTTGCCCGCTGCCAAGTTGCTCTCTGTGTAGTCAGGGCAGGCGGACAAGTGGCGGATGGTACCGAGGTCACACCTCAGTTGCCAGCAGACTTTTACGACGAGCGGCAAAAGCCTGCACCCAAAAGCTCTGCAAAGCTTCACAGAGCCTTCAGGCGAGGCGGCCCCTGGTCCTAGAAACCAAGGCCACTGTGGACAGTTCATGCGGTTGCCTGGGACAACGACTCCCAGGACAGCTTCGGGCTTGTTAAGTAACTGTTAAGCTTTCAATTTAATGCATTACCAGAACACGAGGCTTGAGCAAAGCCATGCTTTTGGAGGACTTGGCAGCCTTGCTGAGCAATCGCTTTCTCGTCTTCTGGCGTCTGCGGAACCGGGACAAGGCTGGGACTTTCAAATCAGTGCAGCCAGCATATATCAGCATATCACAGCTTCTCTCAGCATCCCGCCTGTCTGCGCAATGCTGTCAACTACTACGCCCATCGAACGCAGGGCCAGTTCCAGCAGAAGAAGGAGTTTCGCTTTCATGCCACGCGGTCTCAGGACGCTCGAGAGAAGGGCTAGGTACCACCGTTTATTGTTGCAGTTACAAGTGGGACACCATGATCAGCACGCAGGGCCGCAACTCCTCTACGCATGAAATCAGCCAATGGGAGGCAGATCCTTTGAGGGTTGCCTTGCGTGGCTGTGAAAGCTGCGCCGCGCATCTTTGCCGTGACGAGGTTCACCTGCGCACGCTCGATCCCAAAAACGGGGCCGCGAACTCATATTGCTTTCGCAGGGAAGCAGCTGAGACACAGCCTGATGTCTATACGTCAGTTCTGCTAGCATGAGAAGATACCATTGGGGGTTGAGACAAGGATCTCCTCCGCGATCCGCCCAGCGGGAAGGTGCCTTCAGAGAGCGACGCTCGGGGAAGGGGATGGACCCGGGTCAGCCATTCCGTGTGGACAAGGTTTCGTTGGATCTTCCCATGAAAAAGACGCATAGAAGCGGCCTGAGCTGGCAGAATGTGCGAGATGCCAGGAGCCTTCGGAAGCTGGGGCGCGGCGCGACAAGCGCGAGGAGCGCCTTGCCTAGATTGCAAACGCCACGAAGCTCCTCTGTGCACTGCAGCACAGCCTGGGTGCCCCTCTGCCAGGCCAGCACTGGCAAAGTGTCGAAAAGGGCAGCTTGAAGTTAGGAGTTGCACAATTCGAGAGCCTCTGAAGGGCTTGCTTTTGACGGGGAAAAAGGGTAAACGGTCCAAGAAACCAAGGCGCTTCGCAGCAGAAGCAGCCCAGCAGCTGGATATCTGGTGGAGTGCCGCTGCCTTGGACCATTGGAAGCCCGTCTGTAGCTTATCCCTGTATGGCCCAAAACCAACAAGCCTTGATGCAAGGCCAGCATGAAGGTCTGGGTGACGGCTGACTACAACGGCAGGCCGGTCGCTTCGTGGCCACGAAGAAACGCCTTTTTTCGAGCTCCGCAGCCCTCCGCAGCACTCCGCAGGTTTCTGTTGTGGGATTTGCGCGAACACAGCATCGCGACAACCATCGCACCGACAAAGGCCGGTGGCTAGCACAGAGTCGGTGGCTTGCATCTGTTGAGTCCATGTGGGGATTCGTGGACTGTTCACTCTGTCGGCTGTCTAGCAGGTTTTGCAGGCTCACAGCAAAGTGGCACGGGCGCCCAGTTGCAATCGGAGCCTGCAGGTTGTAGACGGGAGGATAACAGTTGGCCATGTTATGGGCCATGCCAGAAGCCAAGCTCGAGCCCTCACTCCGCCTGCAGAAGGAGCGAAGCCTGGAGATAGCCAGCCCCAACGGCCGAAGCGAATCCGAATCGCTCTGAGATCACGACTTTCCTGGAGCTTAGCACTTTCAAGTTCACCACTGGCAGTTTGGATCGGTCGGCTGGGTGCCCAGAAACGGGGGACTTGTGGGAGGCTCTGAGAGGTCGCTTCGTCGAACGCTGGTGCTCTTCAGTCTGTGTCAAGTTTGCTTGATTCTGCTTGTTTGTGCTGCGAACATGTAGAGCCGGGTGAAAGCCGCTGTGAGGCCACCAGGGCTCTCTCGTAAAGCATACAGAAGCTCCGACTCTAGGCTAGTGCAGACCTGGGCTAAGACCTTGCCTAGGCTCTAGGCCAGCGTAGGGGTAGGCCTTGGTAGGTCTAGCGCCAGGCGAGGGGTAGCCGTGTCTGCTAAACCCGCCCCCTCATTTGGCGATTCCGGTGCAGCAGATATCTTAAACACACCCCCCCATCTGGCGATTGCGGTTCGCCACAATATACCTTAGACCTCATCTGGCGATTGCGGTTCGCCATAATATATCTTAGACGCTCTCTCATTTGGCGATTCCGGTTCACTATGTCTGTTAAACACACCCCTCATTTGGCGATTCCGATGCAGCACATATCTGAAGCATCCTGCCTTATTTGGCGATTCCGGCTCAGCAGATTTCCAACACAAGGTGACGTCTTCCACATGATGTCATGGTGCTTTCGTGTACGGTGCAGGTTCGGCTCAGCCCTTGATTCGCCCAGCAGAAAAGTCGCCATGGGAAACCTGTGTGAGTGTTGTGGAATCAGAGACAAGGGGCCGACGGGCCTGCCCCAGTACGGAAGTGGTGGCAATTCCGAGCATGGATATGCGATGGCAATAAATGACAGGGCCACGATGGAGGACGCCATCGCCATCCGAGAGAATGTCGCTGGGTACACGTGCCTTGCCGTCTTCGATGGGCATGGTGGTGACACAGCAGCCAGACTGGCGCAGTCGTACGTGCCAAAGTAGCTGGACCAGCATCTTGAGCAGACCACCGACAAAGAGAAGGCCGTGATTGATGCCTTCCACGCAGTGGAAGAGCTCATGCACGCAGAATTGGCCGGCGAGGCCAGCATGCTGCCTTCCGGAATATCGTCAGGAACCGTCGCATGCGCGGCTCTTTTCAAAGACAAGGAGGTTATCTTGGTCAATTTGGGAGACTGCCGTGCGGTGGTCTGCGAGTCCTCGAAGGTGGCCACTAAACCACCATTCGCCAGAAAAGAGCGAACAAGAGAAGAGGAGGCTAGAAGAGACCGGAGTGAGCGTGGAGTACGGATACGTGGACGGCAAGGTGCAGGTCTCCCGTGCCTTCGGTGACATAACGGGTAAGACGGGACGAAAAATCCAAGGCCTTTCGTGCACACCGGAGGTCACCATAGTCGAAGTCAAGGAGACGACGGAGTTCCTTGTCCTGGCCACAGATGGGATCTGGGATGGAATCTTAGATCAGACAGCGATCACCACGGCCAGGAAGGTTCTTCGTGAGACACGGTCTCCAGAAGCGGCAGCCAAAGCAGTGGTTGCCGCCGGCAAGGTCACCAAGGCAGACAATGCCGCGGTGATTGTCTTAGCCCTCAACGTGCCGGAGCCGCCCCCTAAAAGGGATGCGGCCCAAAGCCGATTCCGGCGAAGCTCCAAGACGGAGTGAGCTATCGATTCATTTTGCAAGTGCATGTGCTAGATGTCTCGCCGGTTCTTGCCGGCTGTTCCAAGAGGCGCCGCTCGCTTACATTTGAAGCGCTTTGAAGAAAAGAGGCGCTCCTCCATGTATGATCCTCCTCCACGGACTCAGATGCGGGTTTGATATATGCAGTCTTTAGGTCACATGGTCTTGGTTCGTGGGCGTCTATAAACCGCCAGTCACCGTGTCTGCGTCTCAGTAATAGTAGTGGTAGTCGTAATAGTAATAGCAGTAGAAATACTGATCGTATTCGTACGAGTAATAGCAGGAGTCTTAGTAATAGTAATAGCAATAGTTTGACTAGTAATAATCATAGAGCTAGTTCTAGTAATTCGTAGTAGTACAGCCCCCCTGACGCCTGCCCGTGCCCTAGCCCTAGGCCTACCCGTAGGCCCTAGGCGGTGCTAGACTCTTGGTGCTGAGCCTCTGCGTATAGGCTGCCCTCGACCCTACCCCTAGGCCTACCCTTAGCCTAGAGGCCTGGGCGTCTATGCCTCGTAAAGCTGCTCGAATCTGTTCTGTTCTCAGGTTTACTTGTAGCCAGCGTTGACGCCTGACATCCCTGCTCTGAAGCACCAGACTTGGCAGCTGGAGCGAATTCAGCCTGCCCTCGCCCCCGAGGTGTGCCTCTGGGACCACCGCAACCTCTCTGGCCCCGAGGTGAAGTTGGAGGACTGGGCAGCCCCAAACCAGAGAACGAACACGCGGAGGCCTCGGAAGACATCCCTGAACGGGTCCCCACCCATAAGCCTCCTCAAGCTGTGCGCTTATCAGCCATGAAGCCCCGAAGGATGTACAGTGTGAAGGTCATCCGACCGAGCCTGCGTAGTTTCCTTCTCTTTTGCCTTGTCTGCTCTGTGGCTTTCTCTCTGGCTGGGGTGAAGCTGGTGACCCTGGAGCACCAAGAGCCACTGTGTACGGATCTCCTGGACGGTGAAAGCTATGATGGCACAGTGGGCATCGGCGACGATTCCGTTCATGTGGTGACCTGGGCAACCTCTGATTCGGGATACTTGCGACGGCTCAAGGCTTCAGCTGCTTGGCAGGGCTATGCTCCACTGACAGTCCTAGGCTTGGGCACTTCCTGGCGTGGTCCCTTCTATTCGAAGCTGGTGCCTTTAGTTTCCTTTCTCCCGAAGCTGGGTGATCAACTTGTGCTTGTGTTGGACTATGACGCCTTCCTGCAGCAGGGCCCGAGTGCCCTGAAGGAGGCCTACCGCGCCAACGCCCGTCCCGGCAACGTCTGGATCAGTGCGGAGTCTTTGTGTAATGGTAGCCCGGAGCTGCTTGTGGAGCAAACGAAAGCCTCGGAGCGGAACTCGCATGGTTTGAGCTGCTACCCTTTCAGAAGCCAGCGGCCAAATACACACGGCTCTGGTGAGGCGGGTGAAAACAGGTTTCTGAACACAGGCTTTACAGTCGGGCCCGCCGACAAGGTGCTGCGCTTCTACCAAGCCGTTCAGGATGCCGTTCCTTGGTGGGATCAGTATGCCTCCGGTGTGGAGCAGTGGTGGGCCGGACGCTTGCATGCCACAGCCGCATGGGCAGACTTGGTAGATCTGGACTCTCAACAGCGAGGCGCTGGCGTGGTGCTGGGCACCGAGCTTCTTCACAACCACAGTGACACCTTCGGTGTCTCATCTCAGCGTACAGTGGTTTGGGGCAACTGGATCTGGCACGATGGTCTGTTGCAACATCGAGACGGCCACGCGCCGATAGCCGTTCATTTCCCCAACCAGAGGCGTCGCGAGAAGGTGTTCGAATATTGCATGCTCTGGAAGCTTCTGGCCGCAGAAAGAGGGCCAAAGTCGACGGTGCAGGCAGCACCGCTCCTCATAGCTTCGGGCAGTCGTAAAACCCGCGGGGACAGGCGCCTGGAGAGGAGTCTTGAGATTTGTGGAGTTATGTTTGTGGAGTTATGCCAGGAGCACACGGGCTCCATCAGAGCACAGGCGACGATTGGCTGCAATGAGTTCGGGCTTCATCGCTGCTAGGAGTCTGCGCAAAACCAGCCGAGGTACTTGCCATTATTCTCCAGCCTTGTTACAGTGGGCCCGATGCTCACGTGTTGTCAGCCAGCATGCTCAGAAGCCGCCTGAGCCCTCTGCCTCGAGACCTTCTCAGGTTGTGAGAAACGGGTGTTTGTATGGTCGATCGATTCGACAGCCTACCGAGGCGTCCGGAGGCTCAGTTCAGCTTCGTAAGCAAAAGTGTAGAACGACCCCTGTGGAGGAGAAAATCCAACATGTTTACTTCCTGGGACGACATTCGGGGTTGGGACGGCGGCGCAACCCACCCTAAACCATCGTGCTGGGACCGTCTAGAATTTTGTCGGTGGATCGGTCTGTGTGTCTGTTTGCCTGCCTGCCCCTTCAACGATCAGGTAAGGGCGAAGCTTTCCGCACACCAGTCCAACCTCTCAGGGGTGGGAGCCCCAAGTTGAGCTCGTGAACGAAGCTGCGTGACTTTGCACTGTTCCACCCGATGTTCTTCACAGGTTTCAGCCGGCCAAAGAGTTTTCGTAACCTTGGACGAGGCTTCAGTTGCGTCGTCACAGCCAGAAGTCTTGGAAGCAACACCACCAAGAGGACATGCATGGTTTGCCAGGCGTGTATCTTCATCCTCTGGGATGGTGCGACTCTAGCCGCACTCCAGACGTGCCTGGGATGCAAGATGCATCTGAATGACTTTGACGGAGCTTGGGCCTTCCCAATTTTTTTCGCTGAGTTTCGGAAAAGCGTGATTTGTAATAGAACTGCAAAGCTGCAAAGCCTCGGGGATGCTGCGATGATGATGCTTTGCTGTTAGCTGCTGTTGACATGCGCTGCCTAAGGACAAATTGCTTCACCCTTGGGCCTCGCCATGTGGTGGTGATGCCCTCGCCCGGAACCGAATAGGTCCAATTTCATATCGGTGCGGAAAGTGCGGTGTCTGTGTCTTTGAGGCTCGGACGCATTTGCTTGGCAGGGCGGAGGCTCAACTTCTTTGCCTCGGCCTTAGCTCGGACGACCTGTGACGACGCCTCGCCACTCGCCTCTCCTTAGAGGAAGGCAACGAGCAGGGCTCCATTGCACTTGGTGCAGCGCCGACGAAGGACCCCCATGCACATCCTAGTTCCACAGTGCAGCAGTGGCAGGGGTGGGAACGTGGCTAGGGACAGCTGCTTCACCCTGGCGGCTCTTGCAGGAGCAAGTTGCCATAGCAAAACGTCGCATGCCCAGGAAGAACATGACTCAATTGTGTACATTCTCTCACAGACTACACCCTCATTCGCCCCCCTCCTCCCGATATCTCCCGATCCTCCGCTCTCCATGATCATCACCCCGATCGTTTGATTTCCATGACCAAGGTCGGGAAGCCGAGGGTGCGAGCCTGAAGGACGCACGGGCTGTGGGGTAGCTGCGGCAGCTTTTGGGGTGTGGCAGGTCCAGCACATCTGACGTCTGAGCCTCTTCTTGTAGCGGTTTGCGATCCTGAGAGACGGGGAGCAGGGGTGGTTATGATGGATCAGCCATCAGCCGTGGGTGCGTTCGCAGGACCGCGCAGCACCGAAGTGGTCGCAGCCCCGAGTGATTTGTCGCCATGCTGCAGGTGTCGTGTCGGAGAGTGTGCTGGCGCAACTCGGGCAGGTGTGGCCTGGGTCCATCACGAGGCCACCGCTGCTTGATGTTCAGTCGGATGTCTCAACTTGGTGCATCTGCCGTTCTCTACCGTTTGTCTCTTTTAATCGCCCTTTTCCCGCTGGCAAGATTCAGGATCGAGCGAATCAAGTCGTATTTTTGTGATTTCGGTTCAAAGCTGCGAAGGGCTTTTCAGTGTGTTTTCATGCGTGAGGAGTCTTGCTGTCGGCGACCGAAGCCGAGGCTCTGCGTGCGTTTACATCCGAGAGATTACGCGTTTCGGACCGGATCCAAAAGCTTGGCAGGCTTTGGTTGAAGAGTTTCATTCATCTCCCACCACTATTTGGCTCCAAGCAGACGTTAATGCTGTATTGAGGCGCAGGCTTGCGTTTGTCAGCCTGCGCCGGTCTTCAAGCACAGTTGTCCGGCTACGGCGCCATGTTCTCACTTGGTTCCTCCACGGAGCGGGTAGCTTTCCGCACTCTTCTGCGGCTCTCCCGTGCTGCTGGCAGGCATCCGAGGTGCGCAAAGTGATTCATTGTGGCTGGTAGTTGCTTGCCAGTTGGTGAGTTTGAGGCGCCTGGCAGCTCTGCTCGGCCGTGCGCCTCGGATGTGGGATCCACAGGCTGGGGGAGTGGCTGCAGGTACAGCAAGTATGGCATGCCAAAAGCGACATGACAAGCTGAAGTGTCCGGACTCTGTGAGCCCTTGCCAGAGAGCCCAAGCAGTGCCATCGTCGACAAGCGAGTATCCCTGGGTGGACGAGGCCTGCAGAGTTTGTCCGGGCTTGACTGAGCAGCGTTGTTCTTTATCCGCTTCTTGACGGAAGACTACAGCTGGACACAAAACTTTCACTCGATCTGAAAATCGTTCTGGGGCTTGGCGCGCGGAAGGGCTGCGGAAGGGGTTGCTCCGCTGAAGGGCGCGGAAGCAACAACGTCTGGATACGTAAGCCACCGTGTTAGAAGAATACGTCCGTCGAAGGAGACATACAATATCATAGCTATTCATGGCTTGAACTCCAAGCAGTTGCTGCACCCTGCAAGCCAGTCCATCCCCAGCTGTGCTGTCAAGACCCTTGTAGAGTGTTGCCGGGGCTCAGTTCAGAGGTTCAGGTTACCGTGAACCTCGAATGCAGTCTGGCACGGCAGCCGAAGCGATCTGCCTGCCAGCGCATTTTTTCTGCTCATTTTCAACAGTTGAAGATAACAAAAACTGCTGAGACTCAACACCCAGAAGCCGAAACCCTAAACCTTAAATCCGAAAGCCTGAGCCCCACTTACCTGAAAATTGATAGGCGCTTCGCGCCGCCGCCGGCGGCTCCACAGAGTTTGCACTTCCGCGCCAGGGCCGCGCGGCGGTGCGGTGGGGTTCCCAGAAAAGTGCCGAAAAAGAAACAGAGCAAAGATTGCAACCACAAACATACATACATATGTGTATATATATATACACACACACACAGGCGAGGGCTTAGGGCTTACGAAATTGTAGCATGCTAACGCCCTTGGCAAACGGTTTGTCACAGGATTTTGTGGGTTTCTTGCGAGTTATCACAGATTAGACCTCCTGGAAAGCGCGAAGACGAGGGTGGAGCTTGCATGCTGCATGCAGAACTGCAGAACATGGCTGTCTGAAAATTTACGCTTCAATCGGCTTTTTTGTCACTGTGTCCATCTTCAGGGCTATGCGGTGGCACTGGACTTTCACACAGATGCTTGGTTTGCCGTACCTCCCACAGGCGCACACCCGCATGAGACTCTGGGAGTCTCGGCAGAGCACACGCATCCGAAGTATTCCGAAGTCCTGGAGGCATCGGAGATTCGCCATCGACTGGAGCAGGCACGCTCTGCTGCAGTGCGATTGGGCACCTTGCCGTGGACCCAGCGTTACCCAGCGGTGCATGCATTCCTGCCTGGGCTCAGCGCGCCAAACTTGAGATCAAACCGACTGATCGAAAGGTCTGTCCCGTCCTCTCGGATGTTGGACATGCCAACGTGCGGCTGGCGAATTGAAGCGAGTTTGGGGCACGATTTCCTGCGTCTTTGCAGTGAAGTGTGGCGTCTGGGAAACACGCCAGATGGAACTAGTAAGACTGCTTTGGCGACACACCCGTGGAGCAAGGTCAACGCCAGAGTCCCACATCTCATCTACTCGTCTGATGTTGGTCTGTCTGCTTGCCCTTGCCACTTGCAGCAGATGCAGCGGAAGTGCAGAAGGGCAGAAGCAGCAGTGGTGGCCGAGGAGCCGGAGTAGTCCTAATAGCAGCGGGAGGAGGAGGAGGAGGAGCAGGAGCAGGAGCAGGAATGAGCAGAAGCAGAAAGGAATTGCTAGCAAGAAGGGCTATAACAAGAACACTGACTGCTGCAAATGGAACCTTCCCCAAGAGCACGATAATTACAACAACACAATCACACCAACCAGAAGCGCAAGAGAAGGTAAACGGCCATGGATAGTAAGGGGAAGCTCATTTCATCCTAACGTAATGCACTCCGACATGGTTCTGTGTACACTTTTCGAACGAGCTTCTTCAACCGGTCGTACCGAGTCGTACCGCCGAAACCGCAACAATGCAGCGTCCACGTGCGTAAGTGTACCACCCTACACTACTAGGCTCGGTAAGAATCGCATGGCATGTCGTGGCAGGTCTGACTTGGAGCAGATGCAGCTGGGCCAGGGAGTGCAGGCGAGGAGCCTTCCTCATCTCTCGGTCCGTCCTCATTTTATAGTCTTCGGCACCTGCCTGTATATACCTGCATCTTTGCAGTAGTTACTCAGTAGTTGAGGTCTCGTGTGTCGCCTCTCTCTGCAGGAGGGCGATCTGCTGCTCACCCACCCGCTGTCGGGTTTGTTTCAGCCAGTGCCGGAGACTGAGCCTTCACGGGCTGGTCTCACAGTCAAGTCGAGGGCCCTCGTGAGGTTCGACCAGTCTCTCATACTGATCGTCAATGTTCAGAGAGCCCCTTGGCAAGCAGATGTGCGTTCGGGTGTTGATCCCCATCTTCTTGTTTTTGAGTTTGCGACATCTCAGGATAAAGACTGGGTCCATGGAGTCGTTGTGAACAAGGCAGTTTGTGCATGTGAGCATGTCCGAAAGCGAAGCCAGAGCAGGACACACATGTGGACACACACACACATAAAAACACTTCTTTCACATATATACTGTATATACTATGTGACCAATCCAGCTGCGCTCTTGCACCCAGGAACTGGTCGCAGGTACGTTTACCTGTCCATATGACAAAGAGCTTCGTTGGCGCGAGCTTTGTCAAAGGACCTCGCGCCCCCTGCAAACTTAAAAACGAAAGGAGCATGAAAACAAGAAAAATCCATGGGTCAAAGCATGTACCTACAAAGGTTTGCAAACAGAAACACCAAAGAAAAGTGGACATGTGAATGCAGGTTGGTCGCATGTACAGCAGAATAACACAAACAGGCCCCCGAAGGGGCACAGAAGCTTCAAGGTGCACGTCTTTTGCGACTGTTCCCAATCATCGTGTTAGCAGCAAGCCTATTCACGTCTACGCTTCTTGATGGCTCTCTCACTGCGGTCAATAACCTGGTGGTAATAGCATCGGCAATGATTGTGACCTTCGTCTGCTCGAGCACATACCCGGCCACAGTTCGTATGAGAGCACAATCCTGAGCATCGTGACATCCTTTGTTGAAAATCCGAAGAATCACGTAGGATTTCGACAACACGAAGCATCAACCGAATAAGGTCTTGTGGGTGGATGTCGTTAGAGCGAAGAGCATCGAGGGCATCGGCAGCTGATGTTTGCACAATATCCTCCAAATTGTCATCGCTGGCTCGCCTCGACCCTGGTTCATAACGAAGAGTACGACGACCACTGGACGACATGATTACACACTGAGACTTCAAAAAGCTTGAGCACTGCGCATCAGCACGAGAGAAGGCAAAACCTAGGGCCACATGTCAAGACTCGCATGACAAAGGACACCATTTATTCTCATGTGGCGTGATCCACTCAAGTCCAGGTCGTATCTACACTTTACAGTGGGTGAACAATGCGGCGCACATTAAGATCATCGATGAAAGCCGATCCAATACGCACTCGATCTTCATTGGAGTGGTGAATCCATTCCACATTTGCATGGCGCACTTGGGCAAGACGCCAAAGCTGCTGAATATTGAAGAATGTGCGAGCGCCAACCAATCGGATAATAGTGTAATACCATTCTTTGCAAACGGACGCAAACACCACAATATGAGGTAATGCGGGAGCTTCACACGTAATCGGCGTGTACACGCTGGGTCCTTGCATAAAGAACTCCCATACTTCAGCACGAAGATCCATACCTTCTGTTCTGCATTGTGTAACAAACTGTTCAAGATCATACATCGTATGGAATCCATGTCTGCGAAGAGTAACATCCAGAGTCTCAAGTGGATCTCATGGTGGAAAGGTGAAGAAGAAAATAATATGGCGTCGGGTGCTGATGAAAGTCAGCACTTTCTCGGTCAGAACAGTAAGTTCCCACATGGCGTCGAGGAAATGTCTACAACCTTCAGAAGGCACTACGAAAGCATTCGGGCTCACATCCTGCAGTAAAAGAAGGACAACTTGTAGATTGCAAAAGCAACAAAAACTCATGAGCTCGCATAACGAACCGCAATACAGCATTTATTTCTTTGATCAGCACACTGCTCAAGTTCACCACGATGATTCGTGTGGCCAGGTTCTCACAAAGTGAACGGACTGCGTAGTATGCGGAAAGGCAGCAACTCGAGAAATCGAAGATGTGAATGGTAAATGTTGACCAAATTGCCTTAATTGGAAGGCGTTCAAACGGGGTGGAATCCCCGTACGGTTCGCAAGCTCATCGCACACCTTCCTCTTCAGGTCATCAATCGTAGAATCTGTAGGCAAAGAGAGCCAGAAACCCATCTCACGTCCGCCAGAGCATATATCCGGAGGTATAACAACTGGAATCCTGACCATCGGAGCTGGGGCCGGAAGGGCCGCCATACTTGCTGTTCGCTTCATCTTACAAATTGAGCCGTACGCAACTTCGAAGTGTGATGCTGCTAGGATGCACAACACATGTCTGCGACTCAGAAGTTGCAAGCAAGTTCGGGACAACAGTTTTGTCTTCCTCATACGTCCGGCTTACCTGATATGACGAGAGCCTCCAAGTGAAACAGTGGTGCTTGATCTTGACCTAGATCTCGAACGGGATCTCTCTCGGACCTCCGATTCACTCATGGATCTGCTTCTCCGAGC